CCCCAGCACAGCAAGTATCATATAATGGCAGTATTTCTGTCTTCCAAACAGAGAGCGCAGGTTCGATTCCTGCTACTTGTATCATTACTTATGCTAACAATTACTCTTATTGCACTTATTCTAGCGATCCCGCTATCTTCTACAGCTCTTTCTACTTCACCTGGACTTTTCCCGAAGGGGGATAAGGTACGAAATGCTACAATCTCAGCTACACTATTCACACGAATTGTAGCTATTGCACTGCTCTTTGCGGCTGCACTATCTTATAATTGCTTTAGTACAATGTCTCTAGACGCTCTCGATGCCGGAGTTGGGCTATATTCTGGACTAATTCATGCAACAACTATTACACAATCCATGGAAGTATTCCTACTAGTGTCTGGAGCTTTGATTCTCTTGCCGTGATCAAATACTCTTTACCGGGTTGCCTCTTCTGGAAGTAATTATGCTTATCCAACGATCCCTGAATACCCGATGCTAATCCTATTCACAACAATGGGTGGTACATTCCTACTAGCAAGTGCGGATCTTGAAACATCTATTGTGGAACACCTTAGGTGTTCTACAAAGTTTTGGTGTTTATATCCTTGCTGCTGTTTATCGAGACTCTGAATCAGCTACCGCAGCTGGACTGAAGTACTTCCTACTAGGAGCCCTTTCATCAGCCTTGATTCTACTGGGATCAGCACTAGTCTATTCATATACTGGGTTGACTAACCTAAATTCTATCTATGAACTTATTTCTGTACCTAGCGCTATGTCTTCTGTGTACCAACACCTTTGGTGTTCCCTACAGGAGAAGGTGAAGGTGTTGTGGTTCTAGGACTAGTAATCAACACCTTTGGTGTTTTTTAAGGTCGCATCAGCTCCATTCCACTACTGAGCACCTGACGTATATGATGGTACACCTACAATCGTAACAACATGATTGACCGTTATGCCTAAGATTGCTATTTTCCTATTCCTACTAGAACTGTATATTGGTACAGGAGCAGTAATGGCTACAAGCTTTATTGATGCAGGGGTAAGTAGTAATCTACTACTCATCTGTGCATTCCTATCCCTAGTTATTGGAACAGTTGTAGGTCTAGGTCAATACCGAATTAAGCGACTACTTGCCTATTCAACTATCTCGCACGTAGGTTTCCTACTACTAGCTCTGGCTGTCCCTTTTGGGGGAAGTAGCACAACCGTTATTGCTGGTGAAGAATCAGTTGAAGCATTCCTATTCTACATCATGCAATACTCCTTGACTAATATTAATGCATTTTTCGTACTACTAGCCTTTGGATACCTATCCTCTTATGGAACGAATAAGCCTTATACAGACTCTTCCGGTCAAATCCAATTTACATCTGAACTACTTGGACAATTCCGAGCTAATCCTGTACTAGGACTAAGCTTTGCTATCTGCTTGTTCTCTATGGCAGGTGTTCCTCCACTAGTAGGTTTCTTTGCTAAGAAACATCAT